CTCATCGTCCAGCTCGCCAGATACTCCGCGTACTAAAGTTGTACTACAAAGTCGCCAGTTCTCAGCTTCCAGCTCTACAGATTGCTCCGCGTACTAAAGTTGTACTAGAAAGTCGCCAGTTCTCAGCTTCCAGCTCCCCGGATGCTGTGCCTGCCACGAAATCTGCACATGGAGGTTCACAAAGTGCTGTGCCTGCCACGAAATCTGCACATGGAGGCGCACAAAGTGCTGTGCCTGCCACGAAATCTGCACATGGAGGTTCACAAAGTGCTGCACCTGCCACGAAATCTGCACATGGAGGTTCACAAAGTGCTGCACCTGCCACGAAATCTTCACTTCAAGAAACAAGTGAAACCTCTAATCCCAATGGACGGACGATTCCGAGCATGATCCGAGCAGGATCCGAGCATGATCCGAGCATGACCCGAGACCGTCTCGCAACCGTCGTTCCGCAGACCTTGACTTGCCAGCTTCGGAGCCACCGGTTCCATTGAAAAATACAGCATTTCGCGCCTTCGCTATCTCTCCGCAACGCATTTTGTATTGCGCCTGCCACGAAATCTGCACATGGAGGTGCACAAAGTGCTGTGCCTGCCACGAAATCTGCACCTGGAGGTTCACAAAGTGCTGCACCTGCCACGAAATCTGCGCATGGAGGTTCACAAAGTGCTGCACCTGCCACGAAATCTTCACTTCAAGAAACAAGGGAAACCTCTAATCCCAATGGACGGACGATTCCGAGCATGATCCGAGCAGGATCCGAGAATGACCCGAGACCGTCTCGCAACCGTCGTTCCGCAGACCTTGACTTGCCAGCTTCGGAGCCACCGGTTCCATTGAAAAATACAGCATTTCGTGCGTTCGCTATCTCTCCACAACGCATTTTATATTGCGCCTGCCACGACATCTGCACATGGAGGTGCACAAAGTGCTGTGCCTGCCACGAAATCTGCACATGGAGGTTCACAAAGTGCTGCACCTACCACGACATCTGCACATGGAGGTTCACAAAGTGCTGCACCTGCCACGAAATCTGCACCTGGAGCAGCTGGTGTATGAGTGGTGTATGGTGTATGATGAGTGGTGTATGATGAGTGGTGTATGATAACTGGTGTCTGATGAGTGGTGTATGATGAGTGGTGTATGATGAGTGGTGTATGATG